GACTGAAAAGAAGTAAGAAATGGTGGACCTTGAAAATGACTTCAGGTTTTCTCACTGTGCAGAATATAGTCAAACACTGCTGCAGTTAAATATTTTACCCTTTGCTCTCCCTGCGTGATCTACAATAATAATCTGCATCGTGTTGATATTTACTGTGGTGTTGCTGACAATTACTTGAAAGAGAAGTTGGGGTGCTTCACTGGGCTGGAAAAAGTTTAGCTAAATCAGAAAAAAGGTCTAATTAAGCAAGTTTATTCTAGATCTATAAAAGGCTAAGTTGACTCGCACATGCATGATATATATATAAAGTTCTTGCTGGCACCAATCACATGCATGTGTTTTGATCTGTCATTGTTGATTGTGAATTTGGTTGACACTTCTATTATAGAGAAAGGGTGAATAGCGATATTAAAATATTTCTTCTAATTAATTTCCTTTCAATGTGCACGAATTCGTGCACTGGGCCACTAGCCTGTAATATCTTCATATTATTGGCCCAGAAATAACACTGTAGGAGAAAGGTTTGTTGAACTAACTGCTATTAGAAGTTAGAAAAAAAAATATTTGACCAGTTTAAGGCATATTCAAACCATTGCATATTTGTGTTTTAAACTCCTATGATTTTGTGTTGGTTGACTTCTGGCAAAATGAAACATTTTGTTCTAAGACTGAAGATGTGTATGGGTATACACACACATGCATGTACATTTGTGCACCTTAAAGAGCATCTTAGGCATCACACTATTATTTTCTGATAGATACAGATTAGTTGGAAGCACATAGTATCAATTTCTAAGCAGTAGGATCAGGAAGCAGAATCAGAGCTCAGGCATTTCGAACAGCAGCTCTGCACCCAGCCTTTGTGTTTTCTGGAAAACCTCTCTGCCTAAGTGCATACAAATCAGTTTTTAATGTTGAATCATTAATATAATTTATCAAGTGTTGGATGATAGACCCGTGGAGAGTAATTAGTAATTAGTGTTGGTGTTGTGGTTTGCTGATTCAATTCTTATCCACATTACAAAGTTGTTACCACTTCGATGACAAGGCTGACAAAATATTAAACTGTGCCTTTCTAAGGCTAATTGTTTATTTTTAACAACTCCTTGAAAATGATAATGACTGCCCAGCCGTTGTGGCTCAGTGGTTGAGCGTCCACCTAAGAACCAGGAAGTCACGGTTTAATTCCCAATCAGGGCACATGGCCAGGTTGTGGGCTCAATTCCCAGTGTGGGGCAAGCAGGAGGCAGCTGATCAACAATTCTCCCTCATCATTGATGCTACTCTTTCTCTCTCCCTCTCCCTTCTCCTCTGAAATCAATAAAAAAATATTTTTAAAAAGGAAAATGATAATGACTAACACTTATTGAGTATGTATTATGTGTCAGGACTATACAAGGTACTTTATATAAATTGTTCCATCCCATAACAAATATAGCTTATATTTGTCCCATTTTAATGAGAGGACAAAAGCATAGGTGTAGACCTCCTGCTTAACCGCTAACTTGATGAGTTGAGAATTTTAAGGAGGGTTTTTATATTTCAGGTGATTTAGGTTAAGAACAGAGAATCAATACACATCCAAAGGTACACTCTCATGATGTTCTGAGTGGCAGAAGTAACTGAATTAACCTTCATGGAAATTGTGTTAATCTCACTGTTTTAATGAATGTTTTGATTTAGTGGAAATGTTTGTGAAGAGTATCCCTACCGATTATCCAAATGAGTTCCTGGTGAGAAATGTAAACAACGTGCATCTACCCAGGAACACCCCAATTTTTCTCAACCCCAGACATTTTCCTCTGGGTTCCAAGCATGGGCATCTACCTTTCTATTTCACATCTCCACTTGGATGCCTAATTGGTGCATCAATTTTAATATAAAATATTTAAATAAAATAAAACTTTCATTTCCCTTTGAAACTAGTTCTCTCCTTTCTTTCTTCTCTCTCTCTCTCTCTCTCTCTCTCTCTCTCTCTCTCTCTCAAACATGCAATACCACAACTTAGTTACTCAATCCAGAAACTTTCAGTTATCCTTAATTCCTCTCTCTTCTTCACACTTCCACATCCAATTGCATGTCATGTAGGTCCTCATCTTATTACAAAACTATCCATTTGTCTTCCTATCTTTCCAAAACAATGTCATCCTTCTGATAAACTATGCAACAGTTGCCTACCTGGACTCCCTCATTCCCTCCGGCTCTCATCCATTCCATTTAGCTCACAACAGCCAAGGGGATCTTCTACAAATGTGAATCAAAGATTCTGGTTCAAGATAGAGGATTGAACATGTTCATTTACTTCTTTGCATTTCTAAGTCCCCTTTGCAATAAAAATTAGGGGGAGGGGGGACTCATTTGCCTCCATAAAAACAAAGAACATGGAATAGAGTCTTCAATAATAGGATTTTCAACCCATATCTGTGGACAAAAGTAGACGGAGGCATATTGGCTGGTGTAGCAAATTAGAAGAGAAAGCTAAACATTGGCAGAACTCCACACAGATTCCTGACTCAAAAGGCCAGGCATATGCAGGTGGTGGGTATGGTCATAAAGAGAGTTGTGAAAATCTGTACACAGAAGTTAACTCCCCCATTCTCTTCTCTACTCCTATGTCCACCGTGAAAATAGCTTTTATCTGCCGTGGGGGGAATAAAGTTAGTTTTTATTTAAAATTTTTAAATAAAATGTAAAATATTAGTCAATCAGTCAGGGTGTACCCCTTATAAGTTGGTATATATGGGTCCCTCCAACTAACAGCAGGACCTCGGCCTATTAAGCCTGACCTGAAGCCTATTAATGAACAAGTTCCACTCCCAGCTTTAGAACCACTTAACTCAAGATGCACCAGAAATGTGTACCACAAATAAGGTGAAAACACAGATATGTCCCATAGAGAGAAAACAAACACTGGATAGACTGCCCACTTGGGACCAGAAGGTGAAACAGGAAAGAAGCAGGAGTCTTTGATTAGCTGTAATTTAGAACCAGCATAAGAGGTCAGGTATAGAAATGAAGGTATTCGCCAACAAGGTCACATGAGACTTAGCCATTGTGGAGAACTTAGAAGAGTTGGTGAAAAAGCCAAGCAAAGCACAGATAGCATGGGGGGTAATGGGAGAGGTGTGCACTTTAGTTTTAGACCAGAGTTTTAATCACATCACTCCCTCTTACTCGCTCTGTGACCTTGGACAAGCTACTTACCTTAATCATCATGAGCCTCAGTTTCTTTACCTCTAAAACAGTGAAAATAATTCAAATTCAAGAGGTGTTATGAAGATTAAATGAGGTAAATATCATAGAGAAGCCAATATGATAACTGACCCCAGACATCCCTTAATAAATGTTCCTATTCCTTCCTTTTTCTCCCTTTTTATAAAAGATGGCTAGGGCCTGGCCGGCATGGCTCAGTGGTTGAGTGGCAACCTATGAACCAGAAGGCCATGGTTTGATTCCTGGTCAGGGCACATGCCCAGAGGGGCATGCAGGAGGCAACTGATCAATGATTCTCTCTCATCACTGATGTTTCTATCTCTCTCTCCCTTTCCCTTCCTCTCTGAAATTAATAAAAAATATATTTAAAATAAAAAGATTGCTAGGTTATTGTTAAATAACAAACTAGTGAAAATATGTCCTGCACACAAAATACACCCAAACTATGAATCAAGGTGGGCACAAAAGACCTGTGCCCAGATATTGCCAAGCAGGTTAAAAGAGGGGGGTTATAAATCAGTTGGAGATGATCTGAAGTTAGGTGATCTGAAGTCAAAGGAGGGAACTTAAAACCAGTAGAGATCAGAGACCGGGGCCTACAGGAGTAGGAAAATTTCTGGAAAGAAGCAAATCATATCCTGAGTCCACACACCTGAGACTAATACCAAGCACACAGGATTTTAGGAGGAAACTGGTGCTCCTTGCAAACCACATAGCAGAGTTAGCCCAAACCTACCTTAGATGGATCTAGTACACATCATGGAAATGATTGAGAAGAGGAAGAAGGGGAGAGCTGGGGACCATGGGATCTTAAAAATTAAGAGTTTCTCCTGGCTGGTGAGCATTAACCTATGAACCAGGAGGTCACGGTTTGATTCCCGGTCAGGGCACATGCCTGGGGTTGCGGGCTCAATCCCCAGTAGCGGGTGTGCAGGAGGCAGCCGACTGATGATATTTTCTCATCATTGATGTTTATCTCTCTCTCTCCTTCTCCCTTTCTCTCTGAAATAAATTTTTTTAAAATAAGAGTTTCATCATGGACAGGCATCTGGATGAAGTACTTGGCAGAGAATGAGAGGCATCTATAGAGACTACAAGAGCCAAGGGATGGGGATGGGGGGAGTAGGGGTCTGAGTCAACAATGCCATTGGGCCAAACTTGCATGGATCTCAGAGTCATCAGCAGAGGATGCTCAGAGAATGCACAGTGATGGGTCTAGGCCAGTGCACTCCCACGGAGCAGCAGCTGGGTAGGTATTATCATGAAAATGATCAGACAACTTATAGGGGAAAAAGAGCTACAAGTCATATTCACACC